TGTCTTCAGCTTCTCTAATTTTGGTCTCAAAAAAAAGCTCTAGCATCCGGTAAAGGTTCTACTGGGATGTCGTATTATTTAAAACAATTTCCTCACATTTAATACGTGTGTTGCGATGTAGTACTGTACCGTTTCGCAGCATTTCTGAACATTTTTAACTGTTCAGAAACTAGTAACTCTCCTATTGGATGAGGTTGAAAATATCATGAATTATTAATACCAAGTTCTGAGTTATCTGCGGAAACCGAGGATGAGGCAGATAACACAGACACGAAGTATATCATGCGGATATCAAGCACTATCCGAATTCAAGAATTGTTTTATCATATCTTTTTTAAGCAATCTGCAATCTCTCTTAGTTAAAGAAAAGTTTTAGGACACCTAGTTCACGGACTAGGGGCTTGGAAACAAAAAAAATCTTGAACCCAACACGATAAATAATAAGGAAATTTCTCAGTCAATATTTTGTCAACCGCAATTTGTTCTCAGATAAAGGGTTTGTGCATTAATCTGTTCCTTCATTCCACATGGGTGATGGTTATATTCGGCTGTTCACAAAACTAATGAATACAGCGTACGAATAATGTGTACTTTAATTAATGATTATTGTGTGTCCGCCTCTCACTCCTTCTCAGGAGCATAGTCCATCAACAGTCTCTCTCCATAGCTCCCTGTCCTGTGCATCCTTCTCTAACTGATACCAACTCTTGCCTATTGATCTCTGTTTCTCAAGAACGTCTCCAGGTGTTCCATTGATGACCTCTCTTTCGCCTTCCTTGAGGCGTTCCCTTGAGGAGTTCAAAGCTTGCCTGATGATGGTACAAGATAGATAGATAGGTAGATAGATAGATATGTTTAATCAACACTTTTGCAGGCAGAGCTGAACCACAGTGGGGGTCAGAAAATTATACACACAATATGACAATGATATAAATAACAGTTATAATATTTCAGTAATTTCTCATGTATGAATAATATAAATAACCCTTAATAAATAATTTTTCGACAACATGTGAAAAATTTATGGAGAAAAATTTATTGGTACAGCTGCGAATCTATCTGTCCTAACTCTGGGTCTCTCTACACGGAGACAATCCCCTGAGCAAAGATTGTAACTACGAGGATGTATATACCCCTAGGAGCTTATAACTTGAAACTCTATCTATTTCATCACCTAGAATTCAAGAAAGTTGACAATCATCTCTATGCAATTCTTGGGATAAGCGCATACAAGAAGGCTTCCGCAGGGTATGACGATACCATTTTCCATTTTATTTTAGGATAGCTTCCTCCACTGACGTTTGCCCATATCTTTGTCATAGGTCGATGTTATTCAAGGCTTTTGAGGCTTTTGTCTAAAAGATAGGAATGCACACGGCGGTGGGCTTCTGATCTATGCAAAAAGTGATATCTGCTTCACTGAAATCAAACAGGGACTCTCATCTGGTAGCTGGTCCAGCGTTAGGACCGGGAATCACTGCCTCTTAAAGTTAAATTGGCAAGGACTCGGATCGCTATTGTTACTGTCTACAGGCCACCCTCTGTACCGAAATTGCACCGAAAACATGAGCTTTCTGTGCTCTTTGAAGGAGTAACTGCACAGACGGGTGAAGTCATTGTTGCTGGAGATTTTAATCCTGAGATTTTAATCTTGTACTGATGGATTCTTCTAAACAAGGTTTATATTCAAAGGTATATATTCGAGGTATTTATAATAGATGCGAAAAGGTGTCGAGTAACTGACGATCTCTCAATTTTAACTGTAGACGGGTGGTCTTAATGGTAGCTGCTTTGAAAGCTCCCAATGTGTGGTTAATATTTATTTAAGGTAGAGTATTAATTTGTAATAGTTCGGAGCTTTTTACAATTGAACTATTAAACTAATTGGAAATATTGCATTTGTTTAATCTTCTGCAATGATTCCGGCTGGAAAAGCGTGGCGGCCTAATGGTCATGTCGCCCTGGACATCCTACAGGTGTGTAAATGGAGGCGAATTTAAAACGGGGAGAAACCATATGATAGATTAGCATCCCATCCAGGGGGGAGGGAGAGTAGAAATATTTCGTCGCTTAGGCTGTATGGCTCTGACGCAGACTTTTTTTTTACTTCTAATACGTGCATCTCCATGAACAGCACCGGTAAGTGTTCTTTTTTTGGGGGGGGACCCTGTGAGAAAAATTTCGTATTAAATTATTTAATTAAGTTGTGAATTTATCATCAATTTTAATCATCAATATTCGTATTTATTCGTTAATTTACTTTTATTTTTTTAAAATTTTATTGTTTTTCGGTCATTCCAGGAATTCCGGGTATTCCGGTATTCCGAGTATTCCGGTTCTGGTTCCGGTTCCGAATTCCAGCATTCGATATTTTCCAAACTACCCATAACTCGAGATTTGCTGGTTGCTAATCAGTGGTATTGCAATAATGGCATGATTCTCAATGAAAGGTATCGGGTACTACTGATCATACGTTTTCTTTTCGCTCTCAAGCCCTCGATAGCCATATTTAGTTTGGGCATTGATAACAGACTATGTTTCGATAAACATATATCTACCGTCCGCAAGAAGAGAAACAATCACTTTTGTGTCATAATAAGGCTTCATAAACTGATCTCAAGTGACATCATGTTAAAACCATTCATGTAAACAAGATTTTCAGCCTACCACATTTTCAATACTGCTTTACAGTTTGGCATTATTGTAAAGCACAAACGTAGAAAAGTTAGAGGCTTTGAATAGACGCATTGTTAGGTTTATACTTAAGGATTACAGCTCTTCCTATGACCAGTTACTTGACGAGGTCAACCCCACTTCGTTAAGTCATAGACGTCTCCAGTATATGTTATTGCCTTATATGAGCACTTGTTTGTAGAAAACTACCCAAATGATATGAGAACCATAATTTCTCCTCATTCTGCAAATTACAACCTTTGTGGTCACCATATCCCGTCACGTTCTAAGCCGAGAACAACAGTGTATGGTCTACATTTTTTTTTAATTTCTTAGCTGCTAAACTATTGAATTCCCTACCTGGCCTGAGAGCTTACGAGGATTTATATGAATTTTATAGGAAAATCCGTCTTAGTTTTCTCAATTTTAACATTTAATATCACAAGCATGTATTTATATTTACAGTAAATTACATCGCATTCTGTTGTATTTTATATTTTATTCATGTATTATTTGATAAGCATGTAAATTTTATATTCCTAAAATGATTTGTATTTTCATCGTATTTTATTATATTTAGCACAAGACATTATTAGCTTTTGTAGCTACACTCAAATTCGTTTTTGAATAAGGTTTATACATTTATGTATGTATGTAGGTATGTTACTGACTCTGTCTAACCATATTAACTGTAAAATCCTACGCAAACACTTGTTGATGAAAACGTGGAGCTTCTTTGTCGATGCCTTTGTTGTTCTCCAGGTCTGAACCGTGAAGTAAAACAGGCTCAATGTTTGAGTCAAATGATCTTAGTAAGAAATCACTTCATCACTCCTCGAACGATTCAATCTCTTGCGGTTAAGGTAAGGGAATAAATAATCATTTCCCCACAGTTAATTGGAATGACTCAGCAAATTCTTATCAATTATTAAGGCAGGACAGTTGATTTAAGAGATAAAATGCCCGCAGAAGTCAATCAACGTGTCGGCAAAAGGCCGAATGATCAAGATTTCATTCTGATGTTTATGCAGCACTACATTAATTAAAGATAATGTCTTAGCTAAAACTATTCCACATGTCGAGGAACATTTTGAACGCCGGTAAGATATTTGCTTTATAATAATTATGTTTGAGCGGCTTTCGGTAAGTTCGTGATCTACTCTTTTAACATTTGTTTTACTCTGGACGCGATGTGTTCTTTTTAGTGCTATGAGCTCTTTATCTTATTCATTTCCGTTTTCAGCTTTTTACACAAAGAGGAAACTGAGGACTAAGGGCAAAGTAGCCTCGAAGATGCGCGCACATAGGGAACTTTTGATAAAAAAAAAATGCTTGAGCACTGAGAACAATTTCCGATACAGTACACGAAAACATCCTGATTTTCTATCTAACTGATATTGAGCAGGCGATTCATGATTAGAAGCGTGTTTTCGTGTTTCGAGAGTCGAGACGCAAACGTCATCAAAGCATTTACTCTACCAATGCCTTCTGGCATTTTTCTCTTTCCTTTTCCTCAAGAAAAATGCGAGTGTTTCTCTTAAGGGTTAGACATCTTTTGAAAAGTTATTTGGGTGAAACTCTTTTGGACACGCCTATATAATTTGAGCATTCTTTCAGCACTTTCTGATCGAGCCTGTGTTTTGCGGAGAATTCTTTTAGGATTATTTCTGAAGGAAAATAGAGTTGGGGTGTTTTTAAATTCGTACTAAGGGTTTTGAAAAACTTAGAACCTTCAAAGGAATTGCGATATGTTGAGTTCTAAAATATCTTTCGGAGTACGCCTGACTTGGGGAGTACTGAGAATAACAGCAACATATTAATGCTTTTTTTTAAATCAGCATTGACTTCGCTTACCATGCTATTTTTAAGTTCAGTGGCATCTGAATAAGGTCTTCTAAAATAACTAAAAAGCCATAAAGGGTAAAAAAGTTAGCTCAGTGCCAAAGCAAGGAATAATTATTTTTTCTCGGGAAAATGTGGCCAGTCATTGAGTCCAACTGGAGGGAGGGCGTCGTAATACGTTGCGCTATTTTCGGAGGCAAGTCAATTGAATTTAGACAGTAAAATAGCAAAATGTGATGACGCCCGTTAACTGCCTACTCCCTGACGACGACACTGGTTTAATTTTCAATTAACTATTTTCTTCTTTTTTTTTTTTTTCAGGATCACAAGCGACAGAGAGCAGAGCCTTTGCTTTTCCAGTCACCCGAGGAGCAGGCAGTTGCTAGTAACGATAACGCTGGTAGATAAAACCCCAAATTTGCTCGAATTCATCAAACACTCGCTAGAAACAGAAAGATATATATATTTTTTGTGAACAGGACGAGATGTCTTCACAGGGAATAACTAACACCACACAGATTGACGAGGATCAAATGCTGCACGAGCAGCGAAAGCAGGAAGTCTTACCTCAACTTCTTCCGATTAGCTCATTAATCATTCTGACAAATTTTGTGGTATTCATTCTCTTCTGTTCCAGACCAGAATTACGAAAAGCTTCCAACTATCTACTGTTTAGCTTGGCGATTTGCGATTTTTTGAACGGCTCTGTGAACATTCCTCTTTTTATTGTGATCTTTATTCCAGTGGTAGATCAATCTAAAGTTGCTGGCCTTGTTTGTGCCATGGAAATTTCACACAATTTTATCGCCATCGCGGCCGCTTGTCACATATTTCTGATAACCGCTGAGAAATACATGGCTATCTTGCGTCCTCTCAAGTATCACGTGATCAAGAAGAGGAAAGTGTTTTGGGCTATTACGGGAGCTTGGTTTACATCGGCGTTGCTAGCCGCCGCACCAATTGGCTGGTTTTCCTTGAGATTAGGCAAGAATCCCATGGGATTGATCTTAGAGACCTCATTCAATATCTTCTGCTTGCTTACGATCTTCGCGGTACCGTACACGTTCATCATTTTTGCGTATGTTGCCATATTCAGAAAGGTCCGCGAGAGGAACGCAAATCAAAACAACCTACAGAGCTTTAAAATACGCAAAAAGAGGAGAAATGAATGCAAGTGTATTATAGTTTTTGCTACCATGGCGATAGTTTTCGTCATGTGTTGGCTACCGTGGTTCGCCTTGCGTCTAATTTTTTCTTTGGTTGGCCAACGGTTGATTACGCTAAATTTTGCTGATATGGAGACAGCTGCACAGGTCATCCTAATCATGAGATATCTTACTTCAGCAGTAAACCCTTTACTTTACTCATTCCTCAAACAAGACTTTTGGGGAGCGCTGAGGCGTTCATTGTTGAAGACGTTGAGGAATGTTAAAAGAACATCTTCAGAAAGCAGGCCAAGCAAACGATGAAAAAAGAAGCGATCCTTGACTTAGCAAGTGGTCGAGATCCACCCATTATAGTCCGCAAATTTAGAAACCTTTAGTACTCTGTACCTAAACCCTACACCGCATGGCCCAAGGCACGTTCCTGCTAAGGGGGCTCTCCGTTTTCAAGGAACACCTCGTACTTTATTTCAGACAAAGTAAGCAACCATTCTTCAAAGGGTATAAAATGAAAAAGTTCAGACCCTCCCCTCTTTTCTCTTACTGAACATCGTTTTCAAATAGGGATATTGAGGCCCAGTCCACTTGGGGTGGAAGTATTACGTAGAGGAATTCGGTTGTATCGAGTCCCAGGTATCTCACAGTTCTTTCCTTTCGAGTACTCCATCGCGTCGCAAAAACCGACGTACTTGTCGAGAGTACGTCGGCGTGGACTTTGAAAGCATAATTCTTCTGGTTGGACACTATTTGAATAAAATTCGTAAAATCAAAACAAAATCAAAGACATGACGGAGAAAACTAAGGCTAGATTTAAATATTGCATTTATTTGGTTAGTAGGGATCGACAGCGAAATGAAGTAAAACAAAACAAACACGTACTACTTCCGACACTCGTTTGAATATGACACTATCCTGAACTATCAGTTGATGGTGTCCGAACGGACTGAGATTCCTGCTTTGTAACATATAGGCCTAGTACATTTTTAACATCATTCGGTACCCAAATTAATCTCTCTCAGTCAGCTGTCAAAATTTATCAATTCGTGAATATCGCTTAATTTACACTTGATAAAAGTAAAAAGTGCTTTTTATTTTGAATTTGTGTATTCTAAAGCGTAATGATGAGGTATAAACGAACGCACAACATCTCGTCAAAGTGCACTTTAACTTCAACATCTTTGATTTTCAAAGTTTTGACTTGTGCTCCTCTGCCAGAAATTGAAAAACTAAGTCCATACAGTCCTTGGCACAACCCCAGTGTACTGTGAGTCCTCCACCTCCGTGACCATAATTATGGACAACCTAGAAATACCAAAAGACTAATAAACAAAAAGACAAATTTAATTTAAAGCTGGCTATCACAAACTAGTTTGCACTGAAGTTTGATATTCTTCAGTCGAGCATACGGAAGCCTGAGGCGAGCAGAAAGCTCGACCAACGCACGAAGGGAACAACGCGAAAACAATAACGCCTGTACGTACACCAATGAGCTACACTGGTAATAACACTGTTCCGGCGTAGCTCTCCATTTATTCACGTTATATCATGCGTTCGTCACATATAATGGAAGTCGAATGCTTCACGTTGTTCTCTCGACAAAGCTGTTCACTGAGCTCTTCGCTCAGTTCAAAATGTGTCACATCTAATAACCATTATTTTATAGATGGCAGCGCCCACGGGCAAGATGTGTGTGTGTTCTATTGGCTACCCGAACGGGCAAGATGGGCCCACCTTGCCCTCTTGGTCCATAAAACGCAAACAAAGAACTTGGCTAATATCCAGCCATTTTGACCCTTGGTCAATAACGTGTTACGGGAAAATTTTCGCAGCCTCCGCTCATTTCATTCAAAGGCGTCAAAAACATAGGCAATTTTTTGGTCAGAAGTTCTTTTCAGACTAATGACCAACCAGGCACTTTTGAATGCGTTCGTGTGCGATGCAAAACGTGTCCTTTCATTCACAACACTGATAAAATATCGGGACCCAAACGATCCAATAAGATCACCGATCGCTTCACGTGCACCTCCGCCAATGTAATTTACTGCATAACTTGCACTTATTGCGAAAAGATATACATAGGCGAAACAGGCAGAAGACTAGGTGACTGATTCCGAGAACACCTTCGCGACGTGGAAAGGAATGACAAGGACACATCTAAACCAGTCGCTAGACATTTTAATTTACCTAATAATTCTAAGCAACATATGGCAATCTGCGGTCTTTCCTTACACTTAGGTAGCACAGAAAGCCGTAAAACTCTTGAACAAAAGCTCATCTTTCAAACCGGCAGTCTAAATCCCACAGGGATCCACGAATGCTTTTCATTCCACTCATTTATTCCTGTTTATCTCATTGCCATGTTCCCACCAATAACGTAGCTCCATTTTCTGCCTTTGAAAGCACACACAACCCATATTCCCTCCGACGAAGGGCTAACGCTCGAAACGTCAGCTTTTGTAATCGTTACGGTGGCCAATTTACCAATTCAGCTTTGTTGATATATCCAAATTATATCGGTACTTTTGTTGTTCAATTCTAGTGAAATTTTTGGTAAATAAAAGTGTTAATGGTCTTTCTGGCAAAATCAGTTCTCTTGTTAGCTGGCAGCTGAGTATTTTCCTTTCATACGATCAAAGTTAACACCATCCTTGCTTAGATAAGCGGAAACTTTTAATTGTATTTTTCATTTTATTTTGTAATCTGCTCTATTGTAATTACAATGGGTATATTTTTAATGTCAAAGCTGTGAATTCTCCCCTGAGTTTCCTATTTCTAATGGCCTAAAGTTTATTGAATCTGCTCTTCCATTTTCGGCATATCAGTGTTTCAATGTACATCATTTAGCTTCAAAGAGAAGTTTTCCGTTCCTTTGTAATTCTCATTTAGATATTGTCAATTTAGAGAACAATAGACCCTCATACCAGTTCAATAAATTTGTTGATTGTCCAATAAGCTTTGTTGATTACATCCTCGATTACTGAACTGAAGAGGCTAGAGGTCATGTCACTTGTTGGCCTGACCTAAAATAAAAGTTTACTTTGGAACCAAAACGCTGTCTCATCCTTGACGTCTGTATAAGCTCGCTCGAAGTAGATCTCCGTGTGCCAGGAAATCGTGACGAGTTTTCGTTCTCGCTGCCGAGTCGCTTTACAAAGCTAGCTCCCCCCGTTATTGCTGTGCCGTCCGAGAAGGTTCAGTTTCCCAGCTTGGGTGCGAAAGCCTGTTTTCACAAACGCATATTTATAATCCATGAAATAAACTGGGGGATAATCAAAGGTAAACCTCACTAAAATAAAAAACAAAGCAAACAGAACAAAAACCACGCCTGTTTTGCAGGCAATTACAAACACCCTTGTGTATCGAATTTTGTGGAAAAGGCAGGTCGTGATATGCAACACCCTTGTCCACGCAAGATGCGACCCAGGTAGAGTGCCCACTCAAAATGCACATCAGACCTGGATACCCACGCAAAATGTTTAGCAAAGACGACGGTGGACGCGAGTTGTGCATTATCGTTACGTTACACTAATATCCACGTGCTGTCACAAAAAATTGAAGTGAAGGAATGGCCCACTTTGTCAGGTTGGTTTGCTTCACATTCGTGGTTCTTACAGTCGTACTTTTTCAAGGTTCTCCAACAAATGATTTATTGCAATCTGCGAATTGTCTTCTGCTACACTGCGAACATTACTTCTTAACACGGCATAAAAATCAATTGTAAGTCTTGGAGTAGTTACTGATCGGTTCATGAAGTGCTCGTTACTGGTATGAAAGATCGTGTTGTTGCGTGACACGCCTTTGGAATTTCCAGAACGTCCTGTACTCTTCTATGGTAGAGTTAGTCCGTGTAGTGATTTAGTAATTGTCTTGTATCCTTACATAGAACACAATTACCTTTAAGAATTCGTGCAAGCTCCTATAAAACAAGAGTTAAGGCCTAGTTACAAAGAACGAACTTTTTAAAACATACTAGAATGCTGTGTAAAATTGGAAGTTAATTTGTTTTCACAAGTAGAGAATGAATTCAAATACGTAGAAAAGCCGTGTTTCAGAGCTACGTTTAACCCTTCTCCTTTATGAGGTAGTTTCCTGTGTACGGTATAATTTTTTGCTCTTGTACGAAGCAATCACAAATGTACAAAACTTTTTCATGAATCATTTATAGGAGCTTTAAGGTCGCTTATGTATGCATAATTAATTTGAATATATGAAGGTCATACATTTGTACTGCGGTTTTAAGAAATGTATGAAAGCGATCCTCGCAATAATGAACACTACTTATGTAGTAAAGATTAAACAATTTTAATGTAATAGAAAAATCTGAGCTAGTCCGAGCTAATCCGATGTTAGTGAGTTTCAGAGGCGCTTACCAATACTTGGCTGCGTAGCCGCGCGATGCGGTTCTAGTCGAGGCCCACAAATTGACCCTTGCTCACCATAGAGTCTCCAGTAGCTCAGTGGTTAGAGCATCCGACTAGATCACGGAGGGTCGTGGGTTCAAGTCCCATCTGGGGCTCGGATTTTTCTAGTACTTATGTAGTAGTGAAAATAATGCATAAGGAAAAATCCGTCATGTGCTTGGCAGAAATCTCCAAAAAGCGGAAAGGATTGCAAGTATAACTGACAATAAAATGCAACCATATCGTGTCATAACTTTGAAACAAGTTACCATACGTTGTAACTGTCGTAGGTTTTGAGTGAAACACAGCAGAAAGAACGAGTTTGTGTCGACTCCCAATAGAAAACTAAGCATAGTAGAATGATGAAATTGTTAAGAGTACTTTAATATTGTAAAGGCTGATAGTTTCTAAAGAAACTGTTTGGGGCTGCGTCGGTGGGGGTAACTGGCCAGCGTTACGATTATAAAAGCTGACGTTTCGAGCGTTAGGGCTCAAATTATTTAATATTGTAACATAGTATCAGTGATATATTCCAAGCTTACTTTCAGAGTTTTTTCATTTCCCAGATTTTTGTTAAATTTCATAACTTCTCTTTCAAGCCTGACACTTGATCGACCAGGTCGTAGTCCAACCCAGGCCTCCAATACTGGAGCTCGCTAAAAGTGATCAAAACAAAAAGAAAATTCAAGATCCAGGATAAATAATACTTCACTTGTAGAATTGAGTACTTATCGTCCACGGGTCGAAGATGGTAGCATTATGGCAGCAGGGCCTCTTGACACGACCCCAAGCTTCTTTTCAAATAACTGCAATGGATATAATTCTTTAGCAGACAAATGTTTCTAAGCGTTCGCATGAAAAAATAGTCAAGCCAGGCCAGCCCTCTTTGCCAATTAACCCTAAATAAGAGCTCAATTGACCCGGCAGAAAAGGGTTGAAATTTCCTTTATTAATTTCACCGATGTACGCACCAACCCGGGTTTGCACTTTTACTTAAATAACTATTCCTGCATTGTTTTTATGGCTACTGCCTCCTTAGGAGGCGAAGCCATAATGTTGTCCTGTCGAGTGAGTGTAACAATCGAATACGAACGACCTCTTAGCCCTCAGCGAACTTTACTTTAATCATTTTCTCAACAAGCTTAACATATATACAAGGCTGAGGGGAAGGCCAAGAAACAGGAAAGGGTTCCCTTACAAAAGGCCACCCAAAAAAGAAAAACACTACACATACCTATATATATTTGTAATAATATAATAATAATAATAATAATAATAATAATAATAATAACAATAATAATAAGTTAGGTTAATTCAGTGTCTAACTGGTATAAATAAGCCTTACAAAGACTCTTAAAATCAGAAAGAGACTCAGACTTTCTGACATGCACAGGTAAACAATTCCAGGCTTTAACTGTTCTATGGAAATAGGAATATTTTAGCATGTTTGTTCTCGCATATTGAGTTTTAAATGACAAATCAGCATTTCTTAGTTCATATGCTGCATTTTTTCTGGAAATAATAAAACTAGATAAGTTAATATTTAAGAGTCCCTTTAAACATTTGTAAAAGAAGATCAAGTCAAGTAGAGTCCTTCTAGACTTAAGGGTTAGAAGATGGAGAGATTTCAACCGCTCCATGTAAGATCTTCCTTTGATCATGAGTCGCGTGGCTCGTCTCTGAACGCTTTCAATCATGTCCTGCAAAAAGGCTTGGTGAGGGGACCAGATTTCACAGGCGTATTCAAGGTGAGGCCGCACAAGGTGTATGTAAAGCTTGCGAATCACAGCAGACTGTGTCTGATTTCCACATGTCCGTTTAATCAGCCGCAGGATCTTATTTGCAGAATT